CCATTAGTATAGTTTTTTGTTGCCTATAAATAGTGATTATAGGCTGTATTAGTGAATATGATTAAGAAATAAAGAATTTGAGTTCAACTATCTCCCTCTCCCCTTCCCTCTCTCCTCCGCCAAGAAGCTTAAGAAGGAAGTGCTTCTTCCTCTCATTGAAGATCCTAACATCTAGTATCAGAGCTTGTTGGAGGAAACTGAGCTAGGTGGAGGAGGAGGAGGTTTTCTTGTCTAAAGAAATCGATTCATAGCCTCATCTCAAGAAGTGAAATCAGGCTAGGGTTTGTGTGCGGTTGTGCTGAAGCACATGCACGGGGGAATCGAATGGGAGAGAGGCTTGGGTCGGATCTACTCAGCGGAGGAGAAGGGAGTTTGGGTTGAATCGCTGGAGGAAGTTGCATGGGTTCCGTGCGGCAGGTCGGGCTCGGCTAGGGGTCCATCTGGGCCGACTCGGAAGAGAGAATGACAAAGGCAGGAGGAAGCTTCGGCCCTAGGTGCAACTGGATGTAGCGATCGACGGGAGCAAGGCCGGAACCGGGCTGGCGCACATTTGCGGAGGCGGACTTTGGAGTCAGAAGCACTACAGTGAAGCCATGATTTTGCGTTGGAGGTTTGCTTTCCGGCTAGGGATGTTGACTTGGCTCTCTTGCAGTCGGACAAGATTATCTTGCAGTTGTAGTCTTTAGTAATTTTATGATTGATATAAGATTTATTGTAAGATGAGAAATATGTTGTACAATATTGACATAAAGTGTGGAAAAAATTAAAATATTTTCTTTACCTATAATAATTAGAGAACTATAGTCCATTTTTAACTTTCAATTGAAAAAGGTTGGCGAGGTTGGCATATAATCAATGACTACTGAATCTTGAATTTAGGTGTGAGGAGATTTAAAAGTTGTACTATTTGGAGATAGAGAGCATAGTTCATATGAACTTTTAAAGTGTTGAGAAAGTTCAAGAGTTTATCAATTTTTTTGGGGTTAAGCCCGTTTGATTCATGGTGGCCTTTATTTTCATTATAGCCTGAGAATTTTCCAGGATTTTTTTATTTTCGTTTAATGGTTTATTTCTTTTTTGCAGTAGTTGCACCATATATTGCTTTTAGAAGAGGGCTGTCATTCTTCTTTTGAAAAAGTGTTTGCAGCAATGAGTCTCTTATTTTGTTGTTTGTGGTTGTCACAAATGTTTTAGAGATCGGAGCATCAAGCATTACCGTTATTTTTTCTTCAATTGATATGAGAGAAAAAATCCATTTAATATTGGTATATTTTTTCTACTTAAGATTTGGATATGAACTTAGTTGAAGTCATTTTTGAGTTAAACAAAAAACTCAAACACAATTTCTCTTATTATAAATTGTTTGAGAATTACCACATTATTAATGCATGTCATATTGAGATCTTGGTAATAATCTAGTCCAAGCCAATAAAGTACTCAGTCGAGAGGGATACTTTGCTTTGTTGTTCAAATCTTTATTTTGATCTCCTAGATGAGGACAACATCCTTCACTTTTAAGCATGTTTATGGTGTCCTAAACTTCCTTTCTAGTGGAGGGAAACATATATGATCTATTGATTTCAAGTGTTATGATATCCTACAACTATGTCATAATTATGCAATCTGCTTCATCCCAAGTACAATTTTTTTTTTTAATCTTTTGGCTCTAGAGGGAGGATCCATAAGATGGTTCTTTTCATTTCCTTTCAAAAAGTTTTTCACAATTTTACAATATTTCAGATAATTCTTCCATTCAAGCAATATGAGGCTTGTACCCCCTGAAGTTTTTCATTAGTTTGATTTTCACTATTCATGATCGGCAACTCCTTGGAAGGGAAGTTAAATAATCCATCCATAATTATGAGAAGAAATAATCTCAATCTCAATAAGAAGGGAGAACAGAAAAAGAACAAAGTTTTGAAAACAGAAACTTTAACCTCGCTTTGATATCATGTAGACAAGTGGAAAGAGCTACATTAGATTTTATTGATTGATTATATACAAAGTGCAGAAATATTTATATACTTCTCCAATAGGCTTATAATGAAAATAAGTCAAAGCTATTAAAAAAAAAAGGAAAAAAAGCCTACATGAGGGGCTGACAGATAGGTTAGGAAGATGAGTCACATGGATTTTAATTTAAGGGCATGGATTTTAATTTAAGGGCTATAAGTGGATCAATTTAACTGTTATAATCCTTAATCTGTGTGAACAAGAATTCTTATATGGCACCATATATTGATATGCGAGATGGTATGGTATGAGTACAGTGGTGCAGGAAAGCTTGGAAGTAGGATTTGAACATGCTAGAACATGGTTTATGTGTCTTAACAGCTTTATTCTTTAATAGTCTTCTATAGGGTCTGGAATTTTTTTTAAATCTAATTCTTACTGCTTCATTCGTAAGTTCGATAAGTTTTAATTGCTAACTTAAATGTCTGTTTCTCTATATTTCCACTAAGTTCAGGATGGGAAGGCTTTGAAAATTCTAGCGACAGCGTCACGGCTTGATATTGAAGATTTTCTGCTGAAAAAAGTCTATCTTGAGGTTGCCATACTGTTTCGTGCAATTAATATTTTGAATCCTGTATTTTACATATTTTTCAGTTACTGTTAGATTCAAAATATGGTAACATTGGTATTGTAGGTTGAAGTGAAGGTTAAAGAAAATTGGCGGCAAGATGAAGGCCTTCTGAAGAACTATGGCTATGATGGTCAAATTCGTGTAATATGAAGTAGTTATTCATCATGTAATTTTCATTGAACTTCTAGCTTTTGCAATGCTCCTACTTGTCTAGTTTAATTTTACTTTACAATTCATGTGCCGTGTGGTTAAGGCCTCATTTACACCTTCATTTTTTTTTTTTGGCTCTCTCAACCCTTCCATCTTGCCACTTGTATATTTATCTATCAACATGCTCACATTTCCACTTAATAAATCCAAAACATTAAACACAAGACCACCTGATTTTTTATCATCATTAAACTAAACCCTTCCATCTCTCTAATCATGAATTAAGATTAGAGAGAGTTGCCTTAGATGATTTGGTCACATTAAACGGAGGCCTTCTGATGACCCGGTTACGAAAGTAGAGGTATTAAATTTGACTTGTGTTAAAATAGTAGAGGTAGACCTAAAAAGACTTGGTTAGAAAATATTAGAAATAATCTTTCTTTATTAGATTTAAATGAGAATTTGACTTTTAACATGACATAATGACGAAAAAAGATTCATGTAGCTGACCCCATTTAGTTGGACAAAGGCTTGACGGTGTTGTGTGTTGTATTAATTTTTCTTTAAATAAAGTTAGTGTCTATCCTACTAATTTTGAACCCATTGGTCTCTGTAGGTTTTTCCACTCTTCTAGTGAATATTGCTTTGGGTTGATTTGAAGCAGAACCTGATGGACCAGAAAGCTGAAAGGTATTTTCTTCTTTATTGTTTAAATAAAATGGAAAATGATCTGAATTTTCCAGGCAACATAGCTTATGATTCAGTTTTACAGCCATGATTTGGCTTGCAAGCCAGCAACTGCGATATTTTTCTTGATTTCTTCATGAACCTTTTTGCAAGATTCTTATTCAGAACATTGCCATCCAAATGCACAACAGAATCTTGATCATTTCCTACCTTACGGAAAGTAGCGTGTCAGGATCTTGGAGCATCAAATCATTATGGAGATTCACCGTTAGCGCTTGCTGCATTGGCAACGGGCAAAAACATTGAGAGCATGAGGTTTTTCCTATCTCATTCTTGTCAAGGATGTCCTGCAATGCTCTTCTTATTAGTGTGAAAATTCTTTTTGATCTCATAAAATTCTGATTAATTCCTTTGTGCGATATGTAATACATATATAATAAAATTATTTATAGTTTGATAATTCTCAAGTTGGTATCTTGTGACCTAATAAAATTCCTTTCTGAAATGGTTAAATTGTTTAGTTCAGGTTTTGCACAATGGTCTCTGATTGATTCATCTCCTCTAAACTTTCTTATGACAAATAGCCGTTACTTTTCTCCAAAGCTGCAGCATAGTTATTGGTGAGTGTTCTCTTGCATGCGTTGATTATCTGCAACCTGATTACCGAACTGCACCTTAGAAATTGACCGCTAATTTTTTTTTTTTGCCTACAATAGATAAAAAAGATTCATATAGTCGATCCCACATAGTGAGATGAATATTTGATGTTGTTTTTTTTGTTGGAAATTTAGGCTAATTAAGGCAAATTTGCGCACACATTACATACGCAAGACTCGAACTCAAGGCTTCTTAGTTAGGAGAAATTATTATGTGCGGACGCTGGACTACTCGGAGGTGAATCAAAACGCGCCATATCACCAGGTACACACATTTTGATTCGCCTCCGGATGATGTCCTTATCCACCCAAAATAATTTTTCCTTAGCAGCCAAAGTTCTGTACCGACAGGCCAAGTTGAGTTGCGTACCATTATTGTTTTGCTTATTACATAATTATCATTTAAATAGGAGTATTAGTGGTTTTCAAGTATTCATTGTTCTGTTAATAACATGGCAGATATATCTTGTGAAGAGTTAAGATCATTTATTAAACAATATTTAATTATGTCACTGAAACCTTCAGGGATAACGATTGTTATTCTGACAGAGCTTTCAGAGTTGGGTGGGCAGCAAAGATTTATAAATTAGGGGATTCATATTCTTAGCTTTTTTCTTCATTTATAGCAAAATCTAACGCTTGTTAGGTGAATAATGTTTACTAATGAATGTTATTATTATTATTATTATTTGGAAATTATGTACGTTTTATTAATGAGTTTAAGGTTCTGTTTGGAATAGCTTTTTTATTGTTTTCTTAAATAATTTTTCAGTACAAAAATTTTTTAAATTAAAATTTTTTTTATTAAAAATTTATTTTTCTAAACGAAATCTATCATGAAGGTCTATTCTGCTTTCTGTATCGGAGCACAACTAAACATGGCCTGTAATCTGTGAAAGGTCTTCACAAGAACTGGTTAGATCTCCCTCTCACAGCTACCTGAGGAGCTGTTTGTTTTTGTTTTTTTAATTTTCAATTTTATTTTATTTATATTTTAACACAAAATAAATAAATATTTGACATTCAATAGTATATTTTTAATTTATTGAATATTGTATAAGATAGTATTGAAAAATTTTATAAGACTGGTGAGACCTGCAATGCTTTATGGTGGTGAATGTTGGCCATTAAAAGAGAAGCATAGTACTAAGTCAAGTATTGTAGAGATGATGATGCTTAGGTGGATGAGTGGCTTGACCCTTAGAGATAGGATGCGAAATGAGCATATATATGAAAAGGTTGGAGTAGCTCCAGTGGAAGATAAGATTAGAGAGAGTCGCCTTAGATGATTTGGTCACATTAAACGGAGGCCTTCCGATGACCCGGTTAGGAAAGTTAAGGAAATTATATCACTCTGATAGGGTTTTTTTTTTTTCTTTTTTCCTTACAAAAAATATGCCTTTTTTTGGAGTTTATATGAATCTATAAAAAAGTTACATTATTTTAATCGGAATAACTTTGAATTATATTAATGCAGCATCAACTGTTCCCTTGCAATGCCTATTGCTTGGCCAAACGGTGATTTTTTTATTTTAAATGAGATTCATATGGTAAAATTTTTTTCATATCCTCTTAAGTAGGGAAAATTATTAGGTCCGGTCATCGGACCTAAATTTTCGTCCAGATTCCATACGCTTTTTATTGCATTTTTGATGTATTTTTGAAAAAGAACAGCTAATACACAATTTTAATTGCATTTTAGCTGCTTTTTTGTTGAGTATTTGCAAAAATATAGCAAAAGCGCAATAAATATCTTACTCATTGAATATTTGCTGCCCTTTTGCTGTGCTTTTGCTACACTTTTTAAATACTCAGTTAAAAGATAAAATAGCAGCTAATATGCAGTTAATATTTTGTATTAGCTGCTTTTTTTCAAAAATAGATCAAAGGCGTAGTAAAAGCGCACGAAATTCGATGAAAATTTAGGTCCGATACCGAACCTAATAATTTGCCCTGAAGTAGAAGAAGATTTACTGATTTTTTATTTTTTATTTTGGTTACTAGTAAGTAGGGGTGTAAGTAAGTCAAGTCGATTCGTGAATTGACATGAGCTATGTTCAATAAATGGCTTGGGATTAGAGTTCGATGAGCTAAAGAGTCAAGCTTGAGTCAACCCTAACTCGACTTGTTAGATATCGAGTCAGCTTGTTTAAAATTTATTAATATAAAATATACTTTAAATATATTAGAATTCTTGATTTCAAAAATAATTTTGTTAACAATGTTTAAAAATTATATCCCATTTAATTATATTAAGGTATTATTTATTATTTTTATCCTAATTTCTTTTTTTTTTGTAATTATTTATAATATGGCTTTAATAATAATCATTTTCTCTCTTTCATTATAACCGAGTTGTTCGTGAGCCAGTTTAAACTCGTAGAATAAAGCTTGAGCTTGAGCTAGAACTCGATTAATTAATCAAGCTCAAGCCATGGATGACGCGAGCTCATCTTAACTTGTTTACACCCCTATTAATAAGGTCTTGCACATCAACCGATAAGAAAATTTGGACAAAAAATTGCCTATTTTGAGTTTAGAAAAGATCTCAAACTCTACAAAACAAAAAGGATTTCTAATAATGTGTTGTAAACAAAGAACTTTTTGGCACTTTACATTATTGCAAACACTTGTGAACCAACAAAATTAAATCTTCACTATTACTTATAGATTTTTCATGTCCATCTTTATAGTAATATTAACAAGTCATATAAATATAAAAATAAAATAAGAAATGTAAAAATCTAACAATAATATAAAACTAAAAGAATTTATAGCATATCTCTCAAAGAAAAAAATATATGTATTAAATTATGTTTTTTTTTATAATTTTTAGGGGTAATTAAAAATTGAAATTAAATAAGAAAATAAAATTTATAAATATAATTATATAGACATAAAGAAATATATACAAAAAAGTAAAAATGTTAAATAAAAACAAAATTTTATAAAAAAATTTTACGTACAAATAAAAATAAATATATAAAAAATTGATTAAAAAGTACTATGAATGACATTTTTTTTATTCAATTTAAATGAAAATCTAACTATAAACAAATAATTCATATAACAGATCTACCATAAAAGAATAAAATCTTGATGTCGCTGTTATTTTATTTTATCAAAATAAATCGCTCAAATGGTGGCAATTTGTTCATTCTAAAATTATTTTAATTTCATTTTTTAAAAATTTAATTAGTTTTGGTGTTTTTTTTTTCCACAAAAGAATAAAACCCAAAAAAATAAACAGTTCTCTTTTACGTCACATCATGCGCTTAAATATAAAAATAAGCCTAACCTCCTTTCGAAGTTTCCAGAACACCTAAAATTAGAGGCGGCAAAACATTATTGTAAAATACAAAAATTTGGCGTCCACAAAAATTTGCTTCACTGTGCTCACATTTTGTTCTTAAGTGGCCGACCTCAATCACAGCATCTGTGCTCACTGGCACGAAAATTAATTGGTCATATCAGCGGGCCCAAAGTAACGGTCTATCAGAAGGTGTTACACTATTACATAGAATACGAACAATGAAAAGTTATCAGATGACTTATTGCTGGTAACTTTTACTGTTATGGGTTCGCGGGTGGGTGACATCTGCAGTTGTTGTCCGAACCCATTTGATTGCTGCTGTTTCGTTGCTGGACGATTTTTTGGCTTTTTGGCAGGTCAATTTTGGGCCGTGGACGATGATGACACCTACCTGCTCCTTTTGGACGGTCTTCGCGCAACCAAAGGAGACTTATTGCTTATTGCATACTTGATCGAAATTGTTTTGTTCTGAGTCCTGGCCATACAGGGATTCTGTTTGTTTTTGGATTCGTTTTGATTTTATATATGTTTTTTCATCCTTTATGCTTTAGCATATTTTTTCTTATGGCTAAGCACCTTTTTTGTTATACCATTGTAATCTTTTGTTTTATTAATAGAAAGGGCCAAGCCCTCAAGTATTTATTACAAGGGCTTTAAGCAATTTGCCCCCCCCCCCCCAAAAAAAAAAAAAAATAGTTATCAAGAAGTGATTAAAAAAAAAAGGAAAGTTTGGGGCATCGTTCATATCATTAATGAAAAAAAATATAATGCTATGAAAAAAATAAGAACAACACCATATGAATGTACATCTTAAAATTAAGCTATACAGCTCATCTTAATCTTCATTTAGGATGGCTTTCTTACTGCTTCTTAAAGAAATTTTTTAGTAGAAAAAAATTAATTTTTATACTAAAAAGCTGCTTTAAGAAGCAATAAGAAAGTCGTTCCAAACGAATGCTTCATTTCGGATGGCTTTTTTAAGCTTCTTAAAGCAGCTTTCTAGTAGAACAAATAAAATTTTTATACTAGAAAGCTGCTTTAAGAAACATTAAGAAAGCCGTCCCAAATGAAAATGAAGCCTTAGTCTGATGCTTAGTAGCTTTAGCTATAAACCAAAAAATCTTGAGTTGAAGTCATGCGTACGTGATGATGTATGTATGACTTTATCTTAATTGACCTAAATGTCCCAAAAAATAAAGAAAACTCAAAACAGGAGCCAAAATAACCTAACTAACAAGAAAAAATATATAGTAAAGAATGACAAAATGATCTCAGATTGAAACCATAAGCTAAAAAAAAGACCATGGACTCATGAGAGCCAGAAGCTAACCATCATGAAAGTAGAAAAACATATCAGCCAGCAAGCAAAACATGGAGCACACAACAACCCTGATTACCAAAGGACTTGCCTAAAATCAAAATGGTTGCATTAGGGCCATCCAGAAATTAAGATTGCAGGCACGAAGACCATTCCAGGGAAAGATGACTACAGATGGGCGACACACATCATTGTTCATGGGAGGTTTGAGGCACCCTAAACAGCAACCGAAAAAGCC